TCTCCAAATTATTCTTATTTCATTCCCTAAAAACCCTAGAAGAGTTCATCCCAGGACCGATTTCTCAGGAAATCAACCTTGGCCCCATCTTGGCTGTCCTTCCATAAGCAGGTCAAGACCTTTCTATACAGGCAGGCTTTCTCGTAACGACTGCCTGCCTAAGTAGGATTTTTTAAAATAGAGGGTTGTGCCTTGTTGGTCCTGAATGTGTTTTTTGTGTGTGTGTTGCTTTTGTTTACTATTTTCTAGTGTGATGTTTGATCTTTTTTCATTTTTGTATACGCAAGTGAACTTTAGGACATTAATGGATTCCCAGTGGCAGCCCCATTAGAGTCGTTCTCCACACCATGAACAATGGGCCAGATTTAGGAGGTAAGAGGTAGGTCCCTTGTGTAACGATTGCACAATAATATTTGTGTGTGTGTGTGAGAGAGAGAGAGACTCTCGCACGGAGGGAGGGGGGTTTTCTGAAACAACAACCCCCCCTTGGAAGAGAGGGGGAGGGGAGAGCCAGGGGGGTGCAGGGACTCCCCAGGAGGGGGTGTACCTGTGGGTGTGCTTTACATTCCGGACTACAACTCCCACCATCCCCAGCCGCGTGGTGGTGGTGGTGGTCAGGCCCTTGGGAGGGTGGCCGTGGCCGTGTGTGTCCCTCCCCCCCCCAAATCCCATCCCATCCCCAAGGGCCTCTTCCAAGGCTTAAGGGTGCCAGAGAGAGGGGGGGGCTTTTTAAAGCTTGGGGGGAAAAAAAGGTTATTTGGCCTTTAAAACTTGGGTTTCTCTTGAATGCCAGAAACGGCCTCGGATCCTTAGAAATATTTCAGGTGGGGTGGTGGCACCGTCCGCTGCTGTGCAAGGAAGGGGTTTGTGAGGAAATGCAGGGAGGTCAGAGGAGGGTGGGATCCTGGCCTCCCTCTCAGCTCCTCCTTCCAGGATGCTTTCTATATTGGGCATAAATCCAGCTCCCCTGGAACGGCTTCCGAGGCACTCCATCAGGGACCCTCTGTTGCTTTGGGGGGGGGGCTACCAACAAAAAGGGGGGGGAAGCGAGGCCACTAACGAGGTGCCGCCCGCACGTCTCTTCCTCCCCAGTTCAAAGAAGAGATTTCCCGGCGGTTCAAAGCCAAGCAGGATCAGCTGGTTCTGATCTTTGCAGGGAAGATCCTGAAGGACGGGGACACTTTGCATCAGCACGGGATCAAAGACGGGCTCACGGTGCACCTGGTGATCAAAACCCCCCAGAAGTGAGTGCCCCCGCTGGGAGAACCGGGGCGACTGTCCACAAAAAGCCTGGGCCGAGAGCAAAGACCCTTTCTGGGCCCTGCCACGATGGCAGTGTTCACGGCTGCTGTTTCCCTCCCCCCCCACCTGGTGGGCCGTGGCAGATTTGGGGCTTGACCGGACTGGCTGAGGGTGGGAGGGCCACCCAGCCCAAGTGGCTTCAGCCCTTGCCCATCTTTCTTTCCAGGTTGCAAGACCCTTCGGCCTTGGCCGCGGCTGCCTCGCCCGCTCCTGCTCCC